AAAAAGCTTCCTGGAAGCAGAGCGTGTGTGCTCTTTATGACGAAGGGGAAAGTATTTTTATGTGGTGAATGTCCGTGCGATTGTGAGAGGAGCACGCCGAGGGTGAGATTATCGGTATCCAGTCAGCCTTCGACAGCTTTCACTGTCTTTACTTAAATTTACTCGAGCAGTGATGCGATCTTGTTTTACTAACAACCTCGGGAAGGTAACACTAACATGTTTCCTGTTGTGTAATCTGCACTGCAGTTATTTCCACGTGCCGTCTGTGGCTGGATTCATCGTCACGCCCTAAACTGATTTCTTATCTGTTTTTCTTTAGATGAAGTTTAGTTTAGTGTCGCAGAGGAGGTTTAGTTCAGATTTTTACGGTTTGGTTCAGGTTGGTTTAAAGGTCACACACACACACACACACACACACACACTCACTCACTCACTCACTCACTCACTCACTCACTCACTCACTCACTCACTCACTCACTCACACACACACGTGTGTATGTGTGTGTGTGTGCTTGTTTGACAACAGAAAACCAACACGAGTCACGAGCCAGACGAGTCACAAGATCAGGCCATATTACATCATTTCCTAGACATGACACTCCCCTGCGGGCCCACCTTTCTGTTCCAAAACTTGAACATCCGGATATTTGACTTTGTCAGTGATTTAAAAAAAAGATTTTAAAGAAATTGAGCTTTGTACAGAGTGCAGGTTTCCCCAAACACTCTGAGTTATTACTGCTATAGTGACCAAGTGACCTTCTTCATGCGACTGCGTAACATTTTTATCAGCTGCCCCTCCTCCCACACGAGACAATGTTTACAAATGTTAACACGCCTGACAAATACACAAAGAAGGGACTCACAAGGATCAGAATGACTAACACACTGTAAGCTGACCAAAGCTAAAAGTAAACTAAAACTGATTCACTCAGGTTTAAAAATGGGTCATTCATCTCCACAGGATGTAGTTAATCTGTTAATTGTTGTTATTTAAGCTCAGCAGAGAGCTCGTCTTTGGCATCAGCTAAAAAAAACAGCTTCATAACAATAACTCTGGCCTCAGACCACAAATATAAACTTCCAAACTTTATGCAAACTGCACTCAGTACACTGTTGTATGGATTATGCAAAAACATGCGCCCTGCATAGTGTTTCTTTATTTGATATAAATCAGTTGCATGTAACTGTCTCACCTAAGCACACTCTTTGCCCCGACGGTTATATTTAAATGTACAACATGCTTAATAACGTTTGCATTTATTTATAAAGCTCACTGTAATTGGTCAGAATAAAGAAACCCCATCTTTCTGTTCCTAGGTGTGTTCGTGCAGGCTTTGAGCGGGCAGCCAGTGAAGTGCACCGTCTCCCATGATGGTGGCACGACCACGTACGCCCTCCAGACCGAGTTTTCTGACAAGGATGTGCAGAAGCCCGAGTTCTCGTGGTTTAACGCCTCCGTGAGTGACCTCTCACATATATGTTCTCTTATATATATCATAAAATTTAAAGGGTTCCATGTAATTTGTATTTATTTGGGATTTTGTCGCATGACAGGCTGATCATTTTTATTTGTTTTCATTTGCTGACTTTAGAAATACGTCCTCGCCAACCACCTCGATCAAATTGCTGTGGTGATAAGTTGCAGCTTCAACGCTCTCACTGTCAGAGCTTGCATCGAAAACCTTTTCTGTGAAGGACACGTCAACTCCAAGGTACAACCCTCCAAATATGAGGAAAAAACTTTATTGCACACTGGAGGGAAAAAACTTGCCTGTGTTATCGGACGTGTTGTAGTGTGAATAGTGCTGTTTGCTCAAGAGAGGTTGAGTTTACTCTGCAAATCTGCTAATCACAAAATAAATATGCAGGGAAAACAATCCTGTCAGCAGTACTTCATCCTAATAACGGTCTCTTTTTGTTTTCCGTAGGGGAAACCTCTCGACTACACGGCCAACTGCACCAGTGAGTATCGCTGCCCCGTCCTCACATTGTGTCTGGTTTTTGTTTTCATCAATTTTGAAGTAAAATATGAATTTCTCGTGTTCTTTTGCAGCCGTCTGCCCTCCCGAAGCTTTGCCCGGAGACCAAGGTGAAAAAAACAGTCAGTATTTATGTCACTGTGTCTGTGTGTCACTAAAAGAGACGAAACTGAAATGAAACGTGATTAAATCACAGGAATGTTTGGCAGCGTCTGCATGTTTTCACACGTGATGAACAAATGCAGGAAAGGGCCTCATTATTAGATAACACATATCTGTAACACCAGTTACAGTGGAGAGATCAAACTTTGTTACATTAGTACTTTTTACCCGCTCTATTTATTTATGACATCATCTTTAAATAACAGTGTTGCATGCTGTGTGACGTCCCATTCAGGCTATTTTTAAGAGAGGTAATAAACTCTGAGAACGTGACTGTTTTTATTAGCTGTGAATAATTTATTTGGCCTTTAATGCAATATTAAATATTATTAAATCTGTTCTCCTTCTCAGGGAACTCTCATCACTGGATCATCATTGTCATTGTCATTGTGATAGTGATAGTGATAGCGCTTGCATGCATCATCCTGTGCTGCAGAAATGAAAATCTCAGGTAATCTTCTCCCCGTATATAAATCATACAATGACATGCTGTGTCCTCATCTGGCGTGTTCATAACTGCTGCTCTGTTTTCATTGGCAGGAGATGCCGCTGTGGGCAAACCAGAGGACTTTACATCGTTGGGAAGAAAGAAGCAGCAAAGCCAGAAATTGTGTAGAAAGAACAGATCTGAAACGATGATCTTTCCCCTTTTTTCACTTTGAAGTAGAGTGTGCATGAAAAGGTTAATTTCCACCTGTGAGTGGATGCTTTCTGTAGTTTCCCACTGCATCTACACAGTAAGTGTAGATGCAGTGGGAGTGTGGACACTTCCTCTGGACTCATCTTCAGTTTCTCTTTGTTCGTATTTTGGCACAGTTAATGACAGCACAGTGGTGGTAATGAGTGACAGAATGACACTTATGTGACTGGATGCTGGAGACTTGAGGTGCTAAACTCTAAGTCATGTGTGACCTTTTATTTTAAGCATTACTTAATGATAATAATGATAATAATGATGATAATGATAATAATAATAATGTAGTAATGTCTACTTTATTGATCCCCACGGGAAAATTCGTCTCTGAAGCAGTGGGCAGCCACTGGGCGCCCGGGGAGCAGCGTGTAGGGACGGTACCTTGCTCAGGGGTGCCTCAGGGTAGCTGTTTAGTGGATTCGAACCCTCCTGTTTTGCATTATACTTGCCAAAGCTGAACCCCAGCTCACTGATTAGTGTTACTGTAACTGTATCCGGTTACGGCCTCGATCCCGTTGTTGATTTTATTCCACTTGCCAGTTAGCTGTGAGGGATTGGTGCACAGGTGAAAAGTTCTCTGGGCTGTGGAAGCTCTCAGACTCTTTGCTGCACCAGCGAGTGCACTTTGAGGAGCCAAAAAGCATTAATACATTAATATAACCCCCCCACCCCGTGTAAACCAGCTGTGGAAGCTCAGAGACTCGTAATGCAGCACCAGGGCGTGCACTTTCAGTGTCCTATAGCGTTACAGCACATAGTATATATAAAACATATATTAATATAAAGATAAATATAGATAACTTACTATCTATATGCTACTATATGAAACTATATTATTTATATATAAATATATTATTTTTATTATTATATAACTTATAAAGATGAACATTGTGATCTTAAACTACTCGTCATGTGTCCTCTTTACGCTGTCCTTATGAAGTGTATATTTTAAGCTGTCAATCAAACATTTGTTTCTCTATCTGTTGTATTACTGTTTCTTTTTCAGTCATTAAAAGCTTCTGCTCAGACTCATGAGCTCATTGTGTTTTTTGCAGCTCATGCTTGGTTTGAGTTTGTTTTTTCTTTCTTCCTGTTTTTCCTACAGGGGCTTTTTTTTGGGTCTTCTATCTGGTGATATGTTCTGAGCCAATTGAAGCTGAGCAGGTGGGTTGACACATGCACAAGGAAATGATTGGTCATGTTTGTGCTGCTGCCACTTCAGAACACGATGCCTCTGCACATTTAAGCAATGACAGTCACGAGTCTTGTTCTGGGGTGGGGTGGGGGGCTTTTTGATGAAGCTACAGAGGAGTCCTTAAACGTTCTTCATTTTTTTGCTGATGTAAAATTTAAAAATGTAGTTATAAAATCCAGAATGCATGCTGGTGCTGCGGGTGGCCGTGTAACTCCAACAGCATTTACTGTGTGTGTACATAACAGGAAGGAAGAGGGCAGAGGGGCTTTTCTAATTCACTGCAAGAAAAATCACTGGTGGGAGTTTCCCTGCACATGAACCTGCAGCGACACTCCAAACTCGTTGCTTGTTTATATACAGTATGTATCTTTAGCTTATATTCAGCCACAGACACAAACTGTTTGACCCAAAACATTGACTTTCACACATGCTACTCCATTACATGGTGATGTCACCGTGTTTCCCTTTCTGTGAGGTTACTGCAGGTCAGACAGCAGCTTATGTAACATTACTAGTATACAGAACACGCATGGATGTGGTGTGAGTAGTGTCAGCCAATAGGGATGAAGCCGTCTGGCAGAGCATGCCATAGTATACAGTCATCCTCACGTTGAGGTAACTAGGCCACAACCGTGTGACCTTACGTGACTGGTGTGCATTGCGGTGGAAGAAGAATTTAGAGATTTCCTGGAGCAAAGAATTTGCAGTCTCAGAACAAACCAAACCAAAAAAGTCTGTCAGCTGCTGTAATCTAAGTGGTTTTAATCCTCATAGCCATATAATGAAACAGCTCGAGATGGATAGATGTTAAAAAAATGTTATAGATATATGTAGTGGTTAATGAAAACAAAGAAAATAAAGAAGAAGAATGAGGTCAAGTTAAGTAACCATATCGTGGGTTAAGCGTGAGATGGTTTCCAGCCCTGACATGTTGTCTGGTCGTGCTGAAGGGGATTTTTTTTTCTCACTCGGCTCGTATTCGTGCACTTACTTTATTGCAACGCTTCAACTGAAACATTCCTGAAATCTAAAGTGTTGCAATAAACACTTCTGTTTTTTATTATTTGCAGAATGACATTGCAAAATGTTGCTATTTAAAATCTGAAAGCATAATTTTGGCTCTGAGTCTGTTTCTTTGGTTTCCTCTTTCCTTGTGTTTGGGTCAAAGGTCAACCAAATCACAACAGTGTGTGTATAGCATAAACCATGTGGTTTATGATTATTTTTCTCCAAAGGACTTCTTGATTCTCTCTGCGTGGCTGATGTGAGATGACTTTAAAGTCATTTTTGGTCTTTGAGGTGTGCTTTGGTTCATTATGAACTTCTCCACAAACCGGAGGTTGGAGCGTGACTTTGAAGAAAGGAGCACTGCTCATCCTTCATTTTTTAAGCTACCCAAAAACTTTCTTCCTATTTTTTTCTCATTTCTTTTTATTGTTTTGGCGGCTGAATTTTGCTACGTGACTCCCTGCAATATCCTTTTTCTGGTGTGTTATGATTTGTAACCTGTGGCTGAGAAACGCCTCGGTCTTCCCCCAAAGAGTTGGAGGAAGTAGGTGGAGGAGTGAAGGGCAAGATGCGGGGCCCTGCGATGAATTAAAGGTGTGGTCTCTGTGTGGAGCTTTCAAAAGAAATCTGCAGTTCGTTTCAAGACAGAAGGACTGTGAAGACTGTGAGACACCGGCAGCGATGCTTTCAAGTGAGTAAAGAACAAAAGACTTTCAGTGTGAATAACCTGAGTGAGTCTGCTGCATTGCGTTGTTTCTGCACTCATTTAAAATGTGTTTCCTGAGTATTTTGCATTCATTGTTTTATTTGTGCCTTTTATTTGTTTTTCATGTTAGAATGAGTTCAGTTTTCCTTCAAGCACTTAAAGCTCACCTTCACTCCCAGCTTCACTGTTGCTTTGTTTTTGGGTCTTTGCTTCACTTTTTTTTGTTGAAAAAGAAGAAAGCAAAGTGTCACATTTATGCTATAAATGTGACGTTGCAGCTCATTTAAAGCTGACCAAGCATGTGTTATTACAGAAGTCAGGCACAAAGATAAGCATCGCTCTCACTGTTTGAACTTGAGCGGTGTGAGCGTTAGTGGTGTTCCTTCCTGTTTACCTGATCGATAATCAATTCAGAGGCCGAGGAGACGTCTGCTACAGTGTGTAATGAAGTCAGTGGAGTTGATTGCTGTGACTGATTACTGTGGGCCATACACACTCAGATCTGAGTGAGTGATTATTGGTCTAGAATCACCAGCTGTCAGACCTAATATGAAACATGTCCAGACAATCCCGTATGCCTTCAAGGGAAGTGAGAATGTATCAAAAATGCCCCGACTGAAACTTTAACAGTTATTGGAGAAGAAAAAAGAAGGCGGCACAAAGACTGTCACATGAGAGCTTTTCCTATACTTAAAGAACCCAAAACACCGCTTTTAAGCTTTATCTTACCTCTAATCTGCAGAGTGTGTTTATTTTTCAAGTTTGGTATCTCAGTATACCTGAGCTTGTCACTCCAGTACAGCTGTATGCACGGATTAGGACAATGTCTGTTTTTCATACAAGCATAAAGACATTAATGGCGGTTTTGAGTCTTATTAGCTTGTTTGTGTTTACCATAAATATAAAGATTAAATAACAATAAAAGCACATTTTTGTCCACAGGTAGACTTCAGCTCTCCAGCATACAGGACTTGATGTGCAATGTGTCCCACGGTGGTGGCACAGCCAAATACAACATCCTGAAGTTTGTTGATTTCATGGATGCAAACAGATCCAAGCTCGAGTTCTCCTGGATCACTGCAGACGTGAGTAGGACGACTCAGAGCAGCTTCCCATTTTAAGATGTGGTTAACACTATTATCATACATTTAAGGTCAAGCTTTATTCAAATATATCTGTAAGAACATGTGATTTTGTTGTGTGATGAACTGTTTTTTAAAATTTCTTTTTATTTTCTGACTTCAGAAAAGTGTCCTCGCAAACCACCTGGACCACGCGAAGCAGGTGATAAGTAGCAGCTGCGACACTCTCGTCACCTCAAGCTGCTACCCAAACGTTGTCTATGAAGGACATGTCGTCTTAGAGGTACATTAGAGCATAAAAGACAATCTAAGATGTGAGGGTGAAGTTTCTGTGCTTGCATGGTTTGTGGGCAAAGTGTTTTCGAAGAACAGTAAGGGCGCAGAGGCTTAGTTTAGGAGTGGGTTCGCTCGCTGTGGAAATCTGATAAACATGCTCAGAAGTATCGCAACCACATAGTAAACTGATAAACTCTCAGTTAAATTCTCAGATAAACTGAGAATGTTTCTGGCAACATCTAATTGTCTGTTTATTTTCCACAGGGGACGGTTCGAGATTACACAGCCAATTGCACAAGTTAGTCACCGTCCTCCCACATGAGCAATGTTCTGAATTTTTTCTTTTCATATCATGTGAAGTTTTTATGACTTTTCTCTCTTTCTTTCACAGCTACCTGCCCTGCAAAAGGTCTGTTTGATGGAAAAGGTGGGACAAAGTCTTAATCTGCATAACGTATGATTTTTAGATCAAAGTTAAAAGGAATTGGTGATTAAGATGCTGGAAATTTTCAACCACACGCATCTTCTGTTACTTGGAGTAAAATTGCTGCAGCTGCAAAACCACAGACAGCTGTCTTTCACTTTCATTGTTACGGCACAACAAAAGTCATGCATCATAGAACTGGAATGCCTAAAAAGGAAAAAGTGTTTTGAGGAAACTGTTTTTGTGATTTGGTACTAGGGGAGTCTTGCTTGACTGAAATCCCTTCTTTCATGATTGGTGTCATGGTTATCCTGATGGTCCTAGTGCTGGCAGGCCTCATGGTGTGCCTCGTGCGCTCTAGAAGGTATTCTTTTAATTGTGTCAGCATATAAATGCATCACAGTTACCTGACGTGTTTTAAATAGTTATTCTCTTGTTACTGAAGAAACAATGGTGCGCCCATGATGCAAGACTCCGCACTGCAGAGGAAAGTCCGAATACCAGCTGATGTGGAGACGGGAAATCCGGAGAGCAGCGTGTAAAAGTTTCTCTGCACATGCTGGATTCAAACTTTGTGTTGATGCCTCTGCAGTATTTTATTAACGATATTCGTCCGTTATATATCTTTGTTTTTCTGTGTTTTTGTCAGGCAGTTACAGAAACACAGCAGAGTTTCCACTCAGGACCCCCAGTATAATAAATACGCTTGAATAATAAAGTCATTGTTTTAGTGCATTAATCTGTAAAATGTGTCCACCGGGTCAGTAGATCAGAGCTGTAATGGCCCTGACAAAGGCCACTTTCATGACTTCATGGGCTATTCTGCTACTACAGGGTTACCAAGTAAGAGTATGTCATAATTTATTAGAGGATTTAAATTTTTATGAGAAAAAAATCAGCAACTTAAGCTTTAAAATCAGTGGATTGAGTGAATGCTGTGTGCCTCTTTAGACTGACCTCCGCCTGCTGCAGGTACCGGTACTAGAAAGAAGGAGCCTGCAGCAGTTTACAAGAAAACCCTGACAAATTTAAAGTTGCAGCACTTTATCTGTAGATGCACTTGGATCCCAATGGGAGCAGCTGAAGACATGATTTTTCTTCACTTTTAAACTATGCATGCAGACGGTTTGATGAAGGGCTTTTATTCGGATTTTAATGTGAAATTTACGATGGCCCAGAGAGATCAAATCCACTGGAACTTGGAGAAACATCCACAAGTAGAAACACAATCACCACATAATTGATGTGAGATTGTAGATAAATGTGTACTATTAGCTGTTTGCTCTCCGTTTGTCACTTCCACAGCTGCTCCGTCACATTATTGTCTCACTTCCTTGTTTTCCAAAGTTGCAGTGCGTTTGACCTCTCAGGGCCTCCGTGGAAAAGTTTGTAAGAAGAGACTCCTCACTAGTGAGGGTCAATTTCAAGCTGGTTTGCTTTGTAGATGAAATGTGTATTTAACCCAGCTGTATCGCAGTGTGATTTCCTTTTGTTTAAAATCAATAAAATCTTCTGTTTGTGATCATGATTTTGTCTTTATCGTGTGTTGTGGGTGCAACTTCTTTCTTTTTTTCACATCTTTCAGGGACAGAAGCTTTTCAGATGAGAGGGAAAATTTGGTTCAATTTTATTTTATTTATTTAGTGAAAATCACAACAACAGTCATCTCCAGGCCCTTAATATTGGAAGGTAAAGATCATACAGCGTATTGTACAGTAATTCAGGGAAACCCCCAACAATCTGACCACTCCCTATGCGCAAGTACTGCTTTGGGAAGATTTTCCTTCCCACTGCCAATCTAACAGGAAGAAGCCTCCTGCAGAAGGGAGGGAGACAGGACAAAAGACATGCTGTGGAAGAGAGCCAGAGATAACTGATGATGAAATGCAGAGTGTTATATAAACACATGGTCAGAGAAAGTGAAACGCTCGGTGCATCATGGAAGTCCCCCAGCATTGTACGTGTGTCTGCAGAAATGTACGCAGGATCTTAAACGTCAGCCCACTTCCCTTAAGCTGCAGCATGTAGGAGCGTGCACACGGATATATTTTATCTTTGGAGCCATCTGGAGCTCAATTCGGCTCTGCTACAAATTCCACAGTTGCCAGGAGGATGCATGCAATGATGGCTACACGTGTTTCCTTGTAGGTAACCATGTTTAATTGGAGGAACAACGATTTCAAGCATCACCCTCCTTTTAATGCATCCAGTCTGCTATTCTAACTCAGTGAGCATAACATAATGATCTCCAGCCTTGTGCTCGTCAACATTTTCACCTGAGTTGATGAGGACATTATTGAAATGATCTCAGCAGGTCCTTTTATGGCATGAAATGCTGAATGATGAAATGCAGTGGAAATTGAAATTTTGAGATTAAGTTCATTTTCATGGCAAAGAAGGATTTTGCAATTCATCTGATCACTCTTCATAACATTCTAGAGTACATGGAAATTGCTATCATAAAAACTGAAGCAGCAAAATTTGTGGAAACCAGTATTTGTGACTGTACCACAAGCTGCTGTGTGCCTTCTCTTTACTCTTTTCTTGCATTCAGAGTGAGTCCTTATGTCTCTTTCTAGAAAAGCTACCTGAACTGTAGTAACCCTCACGTCAGTTCCAAGGAGCTAGTCTGACAATACAGTGAAACAATGAAGGGGATTTTTTGCTTTCTCTGTTTTCTCTGTATTTCTGCTGATGAGCTTCTTGGAAGCTTGAAACAACGTGGGCAAGGCAGCGCTCTATTTGATGTCTACTTTAACGTGAAAGCACCTTCTTTATTGCACATTACTCACAGAGTTTCTGATCCTCAACCTTGGTGCGGTCTTAACTTTTTATTCAGCTACATCAGGTCACGAATGCTTTTAATTTTCTTTCACTCTGATTTTTTAGGGAATTTTATGTCAGCATCTGTTGAAACTGACTACATTTAGGATTAGAGATTAGTTTCTGAGGGACAGGAGTACATGCTTGTACTCGCAGAAGCGCGTGTATCACATTCAATTAGGTTTAATCCCAGCAGCCCAGTGCATAGCCATTCCTCTTGGATCACATCATCAGGACGAAACCCGCTCCCGTCCTGCTGCACCGACTCCCTCATTTTCATGGTATTGTTACTTTACATTTACATTACTCCCGCTTGCATCATCAAAAGTACGAAGTTCCGCTTAGGATTTTTAACAATAAAAGCACAAGCCTAACTTCAATGCAGCAATCTGAAACCATAAAGCACAATATTCAAATATGAGAAATAATAAACTAGCCTGAAGCTTTGTGTGTGTGTGTGTGTGTGTGTGTGTGTGTGTGTGTGTGTGTGTGTGTGTGTGTGTGT